TCGCTGCCGCTAACGAGCGCCGGCCTATGCGTTTCCCGTCCCCTTAAAATGGCAAGGGGGGGTGCATTTTTTTGCTTTGTCACCGAAACGTGCATGGTAGAAACAGAGACCTGGTATACCGCTCCGCTGTGCGGCAGAAACAGTAGCGGCGGGGAGCTATCCGAGCTCCGAGCACACACGGCTGCACAAGCTGCCAGCCTGGTGGTGTGTACTTTGTCAGCCTCCCTAGCAAGCTCCCTACAGTCCTTAAGCGGGAGGTTAGCTAACGCCCCCCGTACGTCTGCGGGCAGCTGTTGCATGAAAAGCTCTCTGAAAATAAAGCAGGGCTGATGGTCACCTAGGAGAGCTAGGTATAACATAATTTGCATGAAGACCCAAACAAAATAATAACCTTTATAAAAAATAATGCTTCCAATTTTTGTGTTGTTTCCTGCAGTGTATATCGTTTTTACTCTGAATGCTGTGAGGTTCATGTGCTCTTCAGTGTTCAAGACATTCTGCATTGGTATGGTGGAGAAATGCAAAAATGCAAAACAGAGAAGACTTTCTACTTGTACATATTGAAAAACATATTGGAGAAAACAAGTCTTTTTTCATCTCTGATGCCGAAAAGAATGAAATGATATTGATATTTTTCATACCAGGAACTTGCATGGCTGCCGACAGCAAACTGTATGTGGACTGATGAGATAATGAACCCATTAAAAAGTGATCAGTTAAGGGAAGTAGCCAGATGCAACTATGTTTTTCAAACAATTATTTTTTTTTACTTTGTTTTAAAAAACATTGACTGCAATTTGTCATACACTGCAGCCATTCAATAAAAGTTATGATCCATAAAAATGCCTTGTCTTTTGTGTGTGGTTTTAGTGGTTATGCATTTTTAAAACTGCAGAGCTGATTATTGTTAGATCTCAATCCTGGATCACAGAGATTAAATGCTTTTCGTTATTTACATGTATGCAATTATTTTTTAAAATAAATTTTAATACAAAACTTTAAAGTAGTTTATAGTAAAGTTAAAAACTTCTGTTATCAGTTACTGTTAACTGTACATCATATACACAGCTACAGGTTTAAATGGTATACACCTTAAATTCTACTCTAAATAGAATTTACTATAATAAATTTTACATTAGTAATGACACTAATACAGTAAAATACTGGCAACCACAGCTGCTTCTAGAGTACTGTAATAAACTTCACAGTAATTGATGAGAAAAATACAGTAGTGATACTGTAAAAATACAGTAATACATGGGCAACCACAGCTGCCAATATTTTATTATAATTTTAAAGTGTTTTACACCCTGAAAAAATGCAGTTAACAGATTCATATAAACTAAGAAAAAAAGAGGGGTGTATGTACAACTATTTTAAAGCAGCATTTAAGTCAAGTGATCAGTAAATTAGAAGTTAATTTGGAAAGTAATTGCTAATAAAGAACAAGGTGAAGTGATGTTCAATACCGAGAATGAGCTTCAGTGTGTGTGGGAACCCAGTGTAACAGAGACCAGCTTGTGTAAAAAGGTGTCTGGTAGATAGGAGGGCATCTGTATGGAACGTGGGAGGAGATCCTGGGGATTCGAGAAGAGCCTCTGTCATGTGGGGTTTCAATGACTCAGCGCAAGACTGAGGGCTACGGCAGAATGCTAATCAGCTCTGGTGCAGCGGCTACTATTTTTAGATAGTGCTGTTAGTCTTCTTGGAGAAGAGAGCTGGGTGGGTGTTGGCTGGTGGGGAGAACAGAGACTGCAGCAGGAGAGTGAATGACTAAGTGATACAGGGAAAACTGAATGGAGAGGAAGAGAGCATATAAACCAGAATGTGTCAGTCCGAACATCTCCAAGACACGGAAAGGCATTCTCAGAAAAACAACCACCTTTATTGTCCAATTCACAGACAAGTAAAAAAAAAAACAAGCCATTCAAGGGAGAGGCTGGCATGTAGCGCAATCCTCATCTTCACTCAGCGGTGACTGAAGAAGCCCTGGGGATGGTTGTATTTAAAAGGCTTCAGCCTGTTCGGACCCCTGAAGGACAGAGGAGGGACATCACAGCCTCCATGGAGGGAATGTTTTCACACACTTAAAAAGCCAGCATGTAAAATCATACATGGCTGTCAATGTTTTTACATATTACATTGAGGCATAAGTGATCAAATAGTAAAATACACAGCAGTTAGGTGCGTTTCCACCGCACCAGGTACTGTATTTTTGGTACTAAAAAAAGTACCAGAAGTACGGTACTTCAAGTTGTTGGTTTTACACTAATGCAAAATGTGCTACCGGAGCTGAATGATATCACAATGCGAGGTGGGGTACTTAGTACTGAATTTGAAAAAAATGGCTGTAGCATATTATACGGCAAAACGATGTGCAATATTAATTCTGTCATTGTATGTTAAGCACATACAATTCTTACATTGCTAGTCAGATTAATATCAGGCTTTTTCTTCCATTCAATTCTGTTTGGACATTGCAGGGAATTTCACTAAATCTGTCAATAGAAAAAAATGATTATCTAGTAGGCCTATATATATATCGATCAATTTAAAGTTTACCTCCACTGCTTTTGTATGAGTGCTGCATACATGCTCTGAGACAATCAATCATTTTCATCCTTGCAGTTTAAATCACTCCAAAATGGGTTTGTGAGAAATTTGTTTCAAACAAATCTTCCATTTTGTTTTATAAATACCCTAATATTTATTACAACAAAATACCATGCTTTCCAAGTATATTATATAAAATACTTTATTCATGCCATTCTGATTGTATCTGTTCTTGCAACCAGATTGCAATTTAAGCTTTAATTTCTAATGGAATTGGTACATAAGCAGAAGTACCAAAAAATATGGCACGTGGCGCAGTGGAAAAGTGCCCCTAGGCTTTGTTTTACCATGGGTGACATACAGCTGTGTGTACAATTCAAACACTGAAATAAATACCCAAACAGCATCTGCGTGATAGCTGGATGAGATGTGGGATGTGGCACGCACACTCTCAGTATGAGGCCCTGCTCACAGGCTTACCTCACTGTCCATGGGTGACATACAGCTTTGTGTGCAATTCAAACACTGAAATAAATACCCAAACAGCATCTGCGTGATAGCTGGATGAGATGTGGGATGTGGCACGCACACGCTCAGTATGAGGCCCTGCTCACAGGCTTACCTCACTGTCCGCAGGCACATCTTCTCCCGAGGGAACTCACGTGGGCCCTCTACGCTATCATCCTGGCTCTCTGTCTCCAGATACACGTCCAGGCACAGGCAGAGCCGCTGCAGCTGATTGGTCAGCAGCTGATAGCCTGGGCGGGGCCCCTGCAGCTCCATCCTGAACACATTCACCTCGCTCTCCATGGCCTGAGCAGAGGGAAGTGTCAGTCAAGCCAGAGATCCCTAATACTTTGTTTTAATGCTGCTTCTGGCTACGAAACCTACAGCCAAGGCAGAGTAAGAGTAAAGTGGGGACAGGTGCTCACCCTCAGGTTGTCATCAGTACGGCCAGTGCGCTCCCCTTTCCAGTTGAGGGAGAGTGCAAACAGCGGGGTGACCTCAGGGTAGCGTGGGTTTAGCACCATTGCCGCCTGCAAGCACGCTGGAGAATAACAGAGAGATAGGAATTACTAGTACAGCACCCTGAAGCTGTACTGCCTGCCTGTATTCCCATCTAAACAAGGCCACCCCACACCACTGCATCACCACTGCTGCCTGCAGGCATGCTGGAGAATAATGGGGAGGCAGGAATTAACACAGCAGCCTGAAGCTCTGCTGCTTGCCTGTATTCCCACCCTAAGAGGCCCACCATGCCCCTGCATCACAACTGCCACCTGCAGGCTCACTGGAGAATAACAGGGAGGTAGAAATCAACACAGCAGCCTGTAGCTCTGCTGCTTGCCTGTATTCCCAGGACTCACCAGTGCCTCTTTCTACCTGAGCCAGGAAGTACAGGTCAGTGTCCTGCGCCAAGCCAGCCTGGACTACATGCTGGGTATAGGGAAGCTCCTGCAGACACAGAAACACAAGCTGCCATCAGACGAGCATCACCTTAACATTACGCTAGCTACAAACAGAAAACTTAACGCTTATAACTTATGATAGTACTGTTAACCCTCTGCAAGAGATCTAAACTGCATTTTGCAATGTCTATACAAACTTAAAATAACTAATTACAAACTTAATATAAATCTTACATATTTACAAAGTACATTAAAATAAAGATGAGTTTAATGCCAAAACAAATAAATAATTAATTTGCCATGAATTAAGTTTATGATATTGAATGTAATGTGTGATCATGCCCCAGTCAGTGAATGTGTGTTCCCTACCCCTAGACCCCAGATGGTTAAGAAGGGTGTACCTCCCGAAACAGGATCCACCACCTGAATTACTGAACTACAACAATAAACTCAGGACTTACCGCATACTCCAGGTAGGTCATAGTGGTCCATCGGGCCAGACGGGAGACCACTTTGGCTGGGAAAAGGTGCTGACATTCGCTTGATACGGGTACTATGCTGTGCTCTGTAAGACAGTTATCACTCTGGCTGTGACTCAAACTCTAGGTGAAAAAATACGTTCAGCTAAGAAAGGCATACAAAGACGAAGCTGATGAACTTACACAACTGCTAAGCTAATAAGACACACACACAGATGAGGACACACAGGAAGAGATGGGCAGTAATGACTGACATGCACGTATGCAGGGAGGCACACATGCACACACGCACCCTCTCAGCACACTGCACCCCACATAAGCAGACAAAGCACAATGCAGGCTGCTGCAGCAGCACAGTCTCACCCAGGGAACTGAACTGCTTGTGCAAGGCAAGGCGAGACTGCAGGCGGCCCTTCAGCAGTTTCATGCTGCTCTCCATGTGGCTGGCACTCAGGGATTTTCCATCTGGGGGAGCCTGCGCACACCATACCATTCATTACACACATAACATTACGGCTGAAACAACCAATCTCTAATGGCCACAATAATCAGTAATAATGATGATGATGATAATAATAATAATAATAATAATAATAATAATAAATATTTATATCACCAAATGGTTGTGTTTTTGTGGTTTGCGGTGTAAACTGCAATAACATCGACACCTAGCAATGTCAAGGTGTTAAGCCTAGTTTATGTTTCACTTTTCTGCGAGACTTTACAGTCCATGCACAGTTGTGCGTGCGGTATTTTGTTTTCACTTTTCCATGGAGCAGACAGTCAGCGTATGCATGTAGCAGTGATATTCCACCAGACCAGCAGAGGGGAGATGTATTGCAACAAACACAAATACAAGCAGTAAAGCGAAATGTCAAGATTTAAAAATGATGGAATAGTGTTGGTTTCAATAGAAATTCTCTATACCGGGTAAAGTTGTTATACCTGTGACTTAAAAGCAACATCAGGTTGTATCTTTAACAAAGCATTTGCACTTTTCTTAAACCCTCCATTTTGGCCCAACTAACTGATTAGTTGATCACCTGACCACATGACTATAATTATACTAAAGTAATTTCTTCCAGCCCTACATTAGATAAAGAAACATAAATCATACACACACATAAGCTCAGACACACACTCAGACATATTGTCACCTCTGGCCTGTCGCTGGGGAACTGGAGCCCTCCAAGATTTTGTACCCAGATGTAGGGGTGTCCCAGCTCTGACACGTAGTCCCCAAATGTGGCAATCCTGTGTGGTCAGAGCACAGGAGATTGGCCGTGGCTAATAAACAGCAAGACAAATCATCTGAAACACATGCACACAAACTATGTGCCATGAAATGGGAATCTACAGCATGGGCCTCTAACAGCATCTACAGATCCACAATTAAAGTGCCTCAGTACAGAGGAAGAGTCTCACTCAGGTAAATTATAAATTCAAGCAGGCAGAAAGAAAACCTGCACAGGGCTTGCAAAATTTTGAAATCTGCAGGCAGACATTCTTCTGATCATATGCACAAGCTAGAGTGCAAATGGGACTCAACTAAGCTAGAAGTTTTCAGATCTGCCTGGGAAGAGAGCCTCTCTAAGTACAGACAAGCACTAGTAACTGCTAGATCAGTGACTTTTTCCAGACTAATAGGAGAGAACAAAAACAATCCTAAATTCCTATTTGAATCTGTGTCTAGGTTAACACAGAATTCTTCGCCGTTAAACTCGCAAGTACAACGTTTTATGAGTGATGACTTTTAAATTTTTTAATGGTAAAATAACTTCGATTAGACAGACCATCCAGTACACGTTTGTAGCTACATAAAGCTACCAGCCTCCTGCTAGTCCTATTCATACTGATAATGACACCTTTGAATCTTTCCTTCCTATAAAACAACCGGAACTTTTGAGTTTAGTTTCCTTCTGCAAATCCTCTACGAGCCCTGTAGACCCATTTCCTACAAAATTCCTCAAGGAGATTGCACCACTGATTAGCGCTACCCTGTTAAACTTGTTAAACTCATTCATAAGGCTTGGAAATGTTGAAAAACATTTAAGAATAGCTGTTATTAAACCAGTTCTAAAGAAACCATATTTTGAACTTAGTGATTCTGGAAATTATAGACCTACTGTATATCAAATCTTCCATTCATTTCAAAGAACCTGGAAAAAGTTATTGTTCATCACCTGTCATCTTATCTATAGAAAAATATTGCTAATGAATCAGTCTGGTTTAGACAAAACCATAGGACAAAAACAGCTTTAATCAAAATAGTGAATGATTCTGCCCGTGGCTGTATATCTTTGTTGGTATCAGTAGATTTAACGGCAGCATTCAATATGTGGACCATAAAATCCTCTTGGACCGGCTAGAATCTGTGGCATTAAGGGGACAGCCCTCTCTTGGTTTCACTACTATTTAACCGATTGTTATCAGTTTGTCCATGTGAACAATAAATCTTCCAAGGCCACCAAAGTCAAATATGGGATTGGTGCTGTTGGCTTTGGATAAAGTGAGCTGTCAGTGCTGTCACTCTAGCTTCACAATCGGTTGTGGAATTGGGAGTGCTGACGTTTCAGAGACTCCCCATGCCTGCATTCCCACCTGCCTCTCCCTCCTACTTATACTGCCACAGCCATATCTGCCGGAGCTTATATATTGCACACACCGAACTGTTTGCACTGCCTCTAGTCTCCCCTACTTTGGCTAATTGCACACATTAATTGCACATCCTGGGCTGTGCTGCCTGGAGACCCCAAGTAATCAAGATATCCTGCCTATCCTGTTGCATATGACATCTCCACTACCAGTGGCGTCATTCTGGTCCACTCACCCTTCTGCCTGTGACGTCTTCCCTATATGCCCTGCTGCCGTACCACTGTTCATCCTGCCATTTAAAGCAGCAGCTGCCTGCCATCACCTGCCTGCCCCCCGCTTTGAGACTCAAATGTTAAAATTGTGACAGTGTGAATTGGGACTTTGCCATCTTGCTCATTTAACTTCCTCTGCCAGTCCCAGGAGGATATGCTCCCCCTTTGAGTCTGGTTCCTCCAAAGGTTTCTTTCTTCCAGTGAGCTTTTCCTTGCCACTGTCGCCTCTGGCTTGCTCACTGGGGGCTTTGGGCGGGAATGTTGGAAATCGCTTTGAGACAATGTAATGTAGTGAAAGCACTATACAAATAAAACTGAATTGAAAAATTCAATCTTCATATTTTGGTAAAATGAATTCTGACAAGTCCAATCCTAAAGGCCATTCTTATCCATTCATGTTAGGCAAACCAGTCAAAATTAACTAAAACCAGCAGTAAATTTGGGACACAGCAGTCTGTTAACAACACAGACATCAAGCAAAAAGAAACAACTCCTCAGATAGTCCATGTAGGTACACATACAGGGATAAAATAAATCAATCAACAATTTGCTTTCTTTAAAGTACTCAGAGTAGTCTATTAGGCTGACCGACAATGCACTGAGATGATGGCACAAGGCGACTGTGCAATAAATAGCAACCCTCCTATAAGTCACTCCAGGCACCGGAAAAACTTCACACTGTTCCATTCCACTCAAACTAGTGTGGTGCTGTGGTATCACCCACCGCACGACTGCACTCGGGTCTCATCCGAGGTGGTTCATCATGTGATGGGTGCGGCAATGCGCTGCATCAGCACATGGTCCTAACCTCTCTCCACTGTGCATAAATCAAGGTTTTAAGTGCACACTTCCTAGTGGACAAACACGTCATCATGATCAACATTTTGTTTGGTTTTCAAAGTTTTTCATCCAAATATCAAATTAAAAGGCCAGAAAAGGGTAATAAAGTAGAGAATTAAATTCTACTTAAATAACCTGTTGGGCAGGGTGTTACATTTTGGTAGCCTGATTGTCCCGGGACATCGGGCTAGCGATTTTGGTGAGGCTTGCTGCACACTGCAGCCCGCCAGGATGAGGTATAAAGACCAAGCAGTTAAATACATCAAGGCCATGTACCATGAATATGAAAATATCTTACCCCACTTTGTCAAACTGGTATCGATTGGCTGGATTAGGAGTCTCTGAACCTTTGTCATTAGCATACAGGCAGCTGAGCAAAGTCTCTGAATTCAGCAGCTCTCTGAGTGACAGAAGACAGGGAATAAGAAATCAATCATTTCGGTGTCAGTATCAGAAACTCAGGAGTGTGCAAGTATGATTTTTCATGTCCGAGAAAGAGCAATAATGCAGGTCTTACCCAGCACTGATGGCTCCGGCCAGGTCTGCAGCTGTAGACACCTTGGCCTTCACAGTCATAATGTTCAGGTTCATCAGGTAGTAGAAGAATAGATGCAGAACACTGCCATCTACAACAGCGAAGCGGTCCGTTGGCTTCACGGCGATACATCACAGACTCATGGGGTCCATGGGACAGTTACCATGCTCTAAGACATAAGGCCAAACTCCAGATATGGCAGTAAACCGAAAGCTATCGTCATTCCACAAGGTCAGATGCACAGTTTCTGAGTCCATAGCGGCATTGGCAAGAGCTGCAGCACGTTCAAACAGCCCAACCCTCATGATGCTGTCAAAGTACCAGCAAGCTGAGCTTATGCGTTAATTAAATGCTCAGCAATGTCAGAGACAGACTGAAAAGGGGCAAAGAAAAAAACACAAAGGTGACCTTCAGAGAGAAAACCTCTGCCTACAGCTCTGACCTTGGGCTCCTGCAGAGCTCTGACAGAAAAGAATGACTCCTGCCCACTGGAGTCAAAGTAAAAAATCCTGCTTGTGACATCATTGGTGTGAGAAGCTGCTCCTCTAGCCCAAGAAAATAATTAAACTTCCTGCCACACTGACAGATGCTGCAGCACATTCCCTTTCTTCACTAGTCACAAAAAACCTATTACACTAGCATTCTAACTACAGTTTCAGGGTATTTTTCCCCCACGCTGCCAAAGTTACACAGCATAAGATTTTCACAGGGAGTGTTAGCTAAGCATGTCAGCTACAGGAATAATGTGCTGCAGTGCAGCAAAGCCCTTCATGAGGCTCTCCCTGTGCATCATAGCAAAGCAGGAGGCACATTAGTGGATCAGAGATGATGCAACAAAGCAAAGAGTAACTTTCAGTCCCTATTGGGCATGTAGACATACCTCCCATAGGCAATTCTAAAGCAGAGTTAGCCTAAGCTGTGTTAAAACAGATGAGGAGAGCCCAAATTGAAGCAGCCACCACATGTTAGTAGCTGGTAGTTTTTCTGCAGCCAGTCTACGTGCTGCAGCTCGGCCTGGAACTGGCTCTGCTGGAGAGTAGCTGGCAGAGGCTCTGCGTGACCTTGGATCCCCTCTGGCCGTGTGGCTTTGCATCACACACAGGGGCAGCCAGGGCCACAGGATGGGATGTGGGGATGGGGAGGGGAAGAGGTCAGGTTACGCCTGCAATGCAGAGGCAGCCCACGCACCCACACAGTCACTGCCTGCAGTATCCAAAGACAGCACTAGCAGTGAGTGCTACCGGCCCGCTTCACCAGACAGACACCGCACGCAGGGCCCAAGCAAAATACCTTAACAACTGGAGTTAATGGTGAGGTACTTTCAAGGTCTACACACACCTTTACACTTGAGGTCCACACAGAGGGACAGGGGATGAGGCTTCAGCATCTCCCTGCGCTTGTCATCCAGCTGTACACCGAGTGTTGGCCGCCGTCTCTTCTGCTTAAAGAGAACAGCAACACAACAGAGCCAAGAGCATCTGTCAGACTCCACCCTCCATCACACTGCTGCTGCTTAAACTGGGACAGGACGCCCATGGAATGCTAACACTCACTCTGATTATACATACATACACATACATATGTATCTGACAACCACACACAAATCAAAACAGAAAATGTATATGCTCATCATGTTTCACACGTTTTAAACAACTCAACATACACATTAATTTGCAGACATGGAAACATTTGCTTGTTTGTTTCCAGCAAGCTGTCAACAATTTCCCCAGTGTTCTGTGTACTCGTGTGTGTGTGTGTGTGTGTGTATGTCTGTATGTATGTAGGCGATCAATCTTAATAGGTTTTGTTTAGCCTAAAAAGTCATGTTTGATCCATATCCAATATTTTTGTGTGATACGAACACAAATCCTAACTTGAATCATCTTCATTTACATAAACTGACCATAGGAAACACTGGCATAGGAAACACTGTGAAACAGAACAGCCAAGAGAAGCAGGGTGTTCTGTGAAAGAAGTCCAAATAGAAAAATTAAAATGGGACAGGAAAACCTGAATGAAGCAGAGAGCCTCAGAGTATGACACTTACACGACCACCAAGCAAAACGGACAAATTGGAACACTGACACACCCAGCAACCTTATTGATATACCACTTCCCAGAATTCACAGCAGGCAAAGCTTTGAATCAAAAAAAACTTTCCATTTATCATGGGTATTCAAAGGCAATCGATTGAAATCCTTCCCATTTTTCAGGGGAACAGAACTGGCTACTCTCTCAGCGTACTCACTGACCCCACTGCAGAGTACAGGCATACCCAGGAAGGGGTTTCACTGGGATGGCTCTGCAATGCCACCCAGTGGTGCCAAAGGGCACAGGTCTACCTGAAATAGGTAACCAACACGTATTGGGAGTAAAATGTGAACATCACTCACTGTGTTCTGAAGCTCCTCCTCTGCGTCAGAATCGCTCTCATCATCTGCGTGACGTAGAGATGGAGAACAGAGTTCACTTTAACTGCCTGTGCCACACACTTGCATGAACATTATCACTAAATAAATTTAGAGGTCTACAGCAGGCATGTTTGTATGAATGTTCAATGCATATTAAAGAAATAACAATGCATCTTTATATAGATGTGGAGTACAGCACCACCTTGGTTAAAGGTTAACAAAATTTCACATGCTTAGATACGCCTTGGGCACTGACTGTCAAGATTAACACAAACACTTTATTGGCCATTCTGAGTAAACCTGAAGGCAGCATGCAGGACTCTTACCTTGGGAGTCCTCTGGTGGTTTGGACAAGGCCTTGGCTTCATCCACATCACCACTAATTGACACAGTGATGCTTTTATCTGCAACAACACAGACCCATGCTACCAGAACTGACCCACAAACAGCACTGGCCCAATTATGTCCAGACCAAAGATGCAAAAGAGCTGAAGTGCTGAATACTAGCTATATCAAAATAGCTCAGCGCACAAAGGTACAGTGGTAGTTTAAAACAAATGAAAATGAAATGAAAAACAGGCATTTGAATGAACGGTTGAACAGTGCATGTCTCACCACAGGCCTGACTGTAGGCATTGACCTGGACGAGAAGCACATACAGAGGCGGGGGCAGGTGTCTGGCCACTTCATTTTGCTTCTGCACATGCTCAAATGGCATGCACAGGTACTCCTGCACAGGAAGGGAGGCCTGGGAGGCACAAAACAAATGGGAAATCTGGCTTTCAGCTCACCATCACTTGAACATGAACATCTTGTGTTCAACTCAAGACGGGCCTTAAGGTTTAAACTAGATCCCAAAAACGATGTAAATAGGTGTGGAGAGATCTACAATAGGTACTCAACTGGACACAGAGAGATCTGAACGGGTACTTAACAAGACTGTGTGGATTTGGCACCCACCTGCATGATAGCATTAAGACCTGGCTGCAAGCTACTCAAGTACTCCTTCTTCACCTCAATGCTCTTCAGAATCTTTTCCTTACTAGCCAGTGAGTCTTTGTACTTTTCTGCAAGTCTGTAGAGCAGAGACAGTCAGGTTGGAGGCCAGGGCTGACCAAACAGGTGTGATGTGGACTGCAGTGCAGCAGGGAACAAGTAAAGCAGGGATGGGGACAGGTACTGCAGTGCGGGGGGGGGGGGCCAGCAGGGGCACTGCAGTGCGGAGGGGTAGGTATGGCACAGACAGTACAATGCAGGGGGGGACAGCTACGGCGCAGACAGTGCAGTGGGGGACAGCTACAGTGCAGACATTGCAGTGTTGGGGGGGACAGCTACGGCATAGACAGTGCAGGGCAGGAGGGGACAGCTACAGCGCAGTGCAGGGGGGGACAGCTACGGCACAGACAGCGCAGTGCAGGGGGGAGACAGCTACGACACAGACAGTGCAGTGCAGGGGGGGACAGCTACAATATAGAAGTCTTTCGATAATATCCAGGGTGCCCTGCGAGATGAGGCACCTCCTTCTGGAAACACCACCACTAAGGGCGTTTTTCCACCGCACCAGGTACCGTACTTTCGGTACTTCCATAAAGTGCCAAAAGTTTGGTACTTCTTTCATGTCGGTTTTCCACTGGCATAAAAAATGGTACCGGCGCCAAATGACATCATCAGTGACTGCCCCTGACTGACAGCCCAAAATTAAAACTAAAAGTTGAGGCTGGAAAATGCGGTTTATTGTTATGTCAGCTTCTATCACAGTATAAGATTCAGTAAAATCCAAATCATGCTGCCATCAATTACGTTTACGTGGGTACACTTACTTTGGCTAAGCTGATCAAAGCAGTAAGAATTAGCTTACTGCTAATTCAGTCTTTTGAAAGCAAACAAATTATTTAATTATGTTTTTTGATTTTCAAGCGGCATTGTTCGGTGTTTCGCGTGTGCCGCATTTCTTCCAAGCGGCTTGGTATTACGGTGTTCCGGGCAATTCAGTTTCCCTATGTTTCTCCTGTCTATGAGGAAATAATGTTTCCCCTAATATTAAAGCAAAGAGGTATGTGAAATGTCTGAAAATCATTCAGGTACATTATTACATGTGAATACCGTAGATCGTCACGCATTATATAGTCTTATAAGAAATACTATACCGTTTTCATAAAGAAATAAAGAAATCCAAATCCCACTGGATCTGTTCATCCAACCATATGGCGATTAAAGCCTGTGTTTCCTCGTTTGTCCATCCTTCCATTTTACTTTTTTATATTTTTGTTTCAACTGCTTTTTATTTTGTTTCTCGCTGTGATCGCTCTGTTCGCTGTGTGTTTCAAAAGATGGCAGTTGTATTTTGTGTTTCAGCAGCAGGCTATTTGCATAACCAATCGACAGCAAATACGTTTGCAAGTCCCACCCCGAAGTACCGAAGTATCAAAGAAGTACCCCAAAAGGTTTGGCACTTTCGGTACTTTTAACTTTCGGTACTGGTACTCGACCGGAAGTCAATGGAAAAGCGAAAGTACCGTACTTTGTGCGGTGGAAAAGCGCCCTAACATAACCCTCAGCAACCTTAAGGGTCTTACCACAGAAGGCCTCTCGCATAATTTTCTTTTACTTTTTTCTTTCGAGCATGGAGGCTTTGCTGGTAAGTTAGCTATATTGACTTTTAACACTATGCCAGCAACCAGAACTATATTCATAGCAAAAGTAAATGGAGAGTAAACCAGACTGAACAATGAAAATGGGAAAAACTTGATTAATAATTATAAAATGTTACAAACATTTAAAACAATCTAAATGAGATGACATTGCTGGCCTAAACACTGTTGCTAAAGAAGGTGATCTGAGGCTGGGGTGTGCCAGTACGGGCAAGCCGAACCTCTTTCTCTGCTCCAGCTCCCAGTCTAGGCGGGCTAACGTCTGCTGGTGGGGGTCATCCTTTGTGAATTGTAGCCGAGAGATTTCAGGTGGTGCTTCCTGGAAAAATTCATCCAAAGTAACAAGTTCTATCTCTTCGTGCTTGGACCTGCACATGAAGAAATAACAGGCGGGGAGGAAACAGAGCATTAGAGAAAGATGTAAAAATGTGATGTAAGTCAAACTGAAGGCTCCCCACTGAAATCACCTCCCGCTGCATTCTCAGCTCACTCACTTGAATTCAAGACACTTGCTGATCTCTTTCTGAAGGTGCATGACTTCATACAGCAGATTCTGCAGCTGCAGATGAAGGGCATCAACTCGCTGCTTGGCCTGAGCAGATGAACAGAGTTACTTACAACTTGTTTAATACATACAAATAACTGTAGTATCTACACTGGGAAGATGACAGCATATTTCAATCAAGTTCAGTTATCAAAACCTTTCTACTTAAGTCTAATTAACGGTCAAGGTTCATGTATTTGTAAATAAGACACAGTATATTAGTAGATTAGGAAAATTATTAGCATGGAGGCCAAGTATTTACTCGCCCATCCCATTGATGGGAAAGTAAAATGTGACAGCAATGTGTAGCTGATGAATGTTTAGTAGTAAATGATCATAAGACGCATGCTGACCTCATGGGTTTGGTCACGCCCCTTTTTCAGCCGCATGTGTGCCAGGCGGTTGAGCTTCTTCAGCGTCATGAAGTGGATGCAACTCTGCATTCGGCGCTCCTCAATTTCTACTGACTGCCGCAGACATACATGGGAAATCCCATGATGACACTTAATACTTTCTCTCTTTATCATTTGAATACAAAACCACAGTAAGCATAATCCAAGCACAGAGAATTCCTCAAAATAAATAGGAACAGAGTAAACAGGAGG